CCTGGGACTCACTTGGTAGTCCAGGCTGGCCTCGAACTCACAGAGATCCGCCTGGCTCTGCCTCCCAAGTGCTGGGATTAAAGGCGAGCGCCACCACCGCCCGGCCTAAAATGCATTTTTTAAAAACATTTTTTAGTGCTGGGGACTGAAACTAGGTCCTTGCATGTTAAGCCCACGTTTGCCACTGAACTCCTTTATAGACAGCAGCTCTCTTCTTGCAGTCCCCCAACTTAAGGCCATAAACGTCCAGCCATTAGCGGTGTCTCCCACATAATTCTGAGCCCAGGCCCTGCTACTTCTCATCTGCGCCCAGGCTCGCCTAAGTCCCCGACCACTTACTCAAAATCTTTCTCCGTGAAGGGAACGTCCTCAATTAACACAGCGGAATGGACATTGAAAAATATCCCGAGCATTATCTGGAAGAACAAAGGTATAGGTAGGTAGGTTGTCAAATTCCGGCACCTTACCTCTTGGTGGCTCCCTAAGCTCCTCCCATTTCTAATGTTGGCCCAACACTTGCCCCTTAGATAACCAGAAAGGACTAGGAGCAGGGTGGTTGCAGCTGGATTCGGACTCAGCCATCTGGAGTAGGGCATGAGGTAGGACACTGGGAAGAGTGGCTGGGCACAAGGGGGGTATAGCAAACAGCTCTCCAAGACGCGTCATTATCATGGGACCGGGCGGACGAGAGGAGGGAATCCCAGCATTTCATATTTCTGAATGTGAAGGCCGGTAGCGCCCTGGAGAAGAGCAAGCACACTTCTTCCTCGCCTCCCTCCAACTCAAGCATGTGTCGGGGGCCTAGCTCTTGTTTACCTTGAGGGGTCCGCAAACTTACCAGCGTTGGCTCCCATTCCCAGGGTCCTGCCCCCATCACCCTGTCGCTCTAGTTCCCCTTCCCCCCCCCCCCCCGATCTAAGTTCCGTCTCGTTTTCCAGCGACTAGCTAGCCAGATCCTTAATCTGTCTGCCACTTCCAAAGGCCTGGGGGTGCCCGGCCTCCCAACCCGTCAACCCCGGAGCCCCTCAGGCCGGCTCCGATTCTCGGGGGGGGGGGGGGCAGCCCTCTCACCAACATGATCACTCCCCAGGCGCTGAGGACGATGCCGCAGGCGGCCAGCTTCGGCCCACAGCACAGGAGCGACGCCATGGAGGAAGGAGGGAGGGGTCGCTAGAGACAGAAGATCGAGGCGCAGAAGCGGCGGCAGGGAACCCTGGAGACGCCGGGGACAGGGAGCTGGATTTGGGGACTTGCGCGGCGCCGAGCGGCGGGGGCGTGGCCTTGGGCGCGGACCACTCTGAAGGGGCGGCGGGCAGAGAGCGCTGAGCCAGGCGGAGGGCCCAGCCTCGGGCGGAGGACGGGGGCCAGAATCCGAAGTGGCGACTCTCTAAGTCCTCCCTGATCTAGACAGTAGGGACGTGAGGGATGCAGGAACTGGGGCCGGGTGGTTCTTCCCCTTCACCTACCCCGTCTTGGAATGGAAGGAGCGGGCATCTCATGTGACCGACTTGGCAGGTCACATGACCAGGAACTAGCTTTAACCTGGCGTCAGGGAAGAATCTGGTGGGAATGAGCGCCGGCTGAGTTGAGTATTGGACTGTTCGGTTAGGTCGAGAAGCTCGGGATCGTCTAATTCCTCACCCCCTACACGCATCCCTTAGTCTCCAGTGGTCTTCTGTGAAGGGGGAAACGGTAAGCGAGATGGTGAGATTACTCGGCGTGGAGGTCTATCGCCTCTATCCAGGTCCCCCTTTCGAAAGATGCTTTGACAGTTGCAGAGGAAAGAGGAAGAGCCCCTACCTGAGGCTGAGCATCCTGCTTGGAGGACGGTTTTTAAATAGTTGAGGTCTTTTTGACCCTGGAAATGCTTCACTTGAAATACAGTATCGTTCTAATGCCACGTTCAGGGGAAAATATGGGGCTAGGAAAGCAGACTCATTGGACACGTTATGAAGACAAGCAGACTAGCTAAGTGTGGCGGAGAAATGAGTAAATACACTGAAATGTCGCTGTTGCTTCTCTCCACTTTAAAGTGCTGCAGGCACTTTAAGACAGAACGTAAGATGTGTCGTGGTCACAGTGCTGTGAGGAGACACCACGACCAAGGCAACTCTTAGAAAGCATTTAATTGGGGCTCCCTTCCAGTTGCAGGGCTTTAGTCCGTTATGATCATAGCGGGGAGCATGGCGGCAGACATAGCATGGCCCGAGGCAGAGCTACATCCTGATCAGTGGCGGGGAGGGCCGAACTGACTGGGCCTGGCATGGGCTTTTGAAACCAAAGCCCACTCCCAGTGACATACTTCCTCTAACAAGGCCTCAGCTCTCCTAATCCTTGTAATCCTTTCGAACAGGTCCACTCTCCAAGCATTCATATCTATGATCCTATGGGGCCCTTCTCAATCAAACCACCACAAGATGTAAAAATAAGAATAGGCCTTCCTCTCCAAAACAAATTTGGTAACTTCACTAGTGAGAAATATATTTGTAGTAATTAGATATGTTTAAAGAACACCCCCTCCTCTCCAGGGCGGGGGTTCAAGCTCGGGGCCACGGATGAAGAAAAATTTTGCACTGAGTTCGGTATACCCATGCTCGTAAGGACAATAGCCACAGAACAATTGGGAGAATACGCTTTAATTTCAAGACCCCAGCACCAAACAGAGGAACCCTGTCATCGACTAGAATCTTGTGGCATTTTTTTTTATTATTTTGTGGATATTGGTCATGAAATGGTTGTGAAAGAGAACCTGTGATTACTGTGTGGTAAGCAGGGTTGAAACAAGGGTTCTCTGCCTCTCTTGTTTGTGACTGTTGGGAGGGAAGCTGTCTGGGGAAATGTTTTCTACTTGGGGCCACCTTTATTAGGGCTGTCCAGGGTTTGTGTTCAAATTGGAAAAGAGGGGGTAGAGGGGAATTGTCAAGGAAGAGAGTCAGGAATTTACAAGTTGGCTATCAAACATGAGCCTGGTACCTGGCAAAGGGGAACTAGCTGAAGTAGCTGCTTTCATTCAGAAATATTATTTTCCTCTCCACAACCCTGGCTCTTGGATGTTTTTCTAGAAACTAAATTTTAGGCTTGAGGCTTGTATTAGACCAGATCTATTCTGAAATTGTGCATGGCCCTCAAAGCACTTTCATTTTCCCTTGTTTGCTTGTTTTTAGTTTGTTTGTTTTGTTTTGTTTTGTTTTGTTTTTGAGACAGGGTTTTTCTCTGTGTAATAGCTCTGGCTGTCCTGGAACTTACTCTGTAGACCAGGCTGGCCTTGAATTCAGAATTCTGCCTGCCTCTGCCTCCCAAGTGCTGGGATTCAAGGTGAGTGTCACCACTGCCTGGCTTTGTGGTTTTTTTTTTTTTTTCCAGAGCTGAGGACCGAACCCAGGGCCTTGTGCTTGCTAGGCAAGTGCTCTACCACTGAGCTAAATGCCCAACCCCTTGTTTTTGTTTTTAAATGGCTGGGAAAAAAAAAGAGCCAAAATACTGTGTGGTGACATGTGAAGTTGACATCTCAGTGTCCATACATAAAGTTTTATTGAAACATAGTCACACTCATAATGTTGGTGGCTGCTCTAATGGTACAGAGAGAGTTAAGTAATTGTGGCAGAAAGTATATGGCCTACAAAGACTGTTCCTCTTTACAGCAGAACATTTAGTGCCCTGTGGTAGAATCCTGATGTGGAGTGTGCTTAGTCGGGAGAGGAATTAGAGTCTTAGCAGCAGATGTGAGAAGGCCGGGAACCAAGAGAACAGCGGCAGCCCTAGAGCTGATGGGATTCTTCCGGCTCAGATGGTGATACTGTTCTCTATGCGGCTGGGCTTGAGGTATTCATAGGGCAGGTCAAGTTGCTCATTCCGGGCTATAATCTCTCTTTCCAAATTCCCCAAATCTGCTTGAAATCGGCTGAGCACAGTTTTGGTCCTGGGATCTGAGAAATATTTTTCTTTGTGTTGTCCTAGGGGTACCTGGGACAGAATGGATCATTCAGGTTCCAGCCCGAAGACACCCAGCCCCTCACACTGATACTTTCTCCCCAACTGTTACTTCCCTCTCCTTGATCCGTACTCACCATGTCTGGCTGGAGGCGACCCAGATGCCATGTGATGGTCATTTGAAGACAGGACTTGTGAATGTCGGGTAGTGAGCCCATCACCGTCTCCATAGTAACGCCTTCCTTGTTGGTGGGTGGGGGCATCCTCATTGTGCATGGAGCATTAGGTACCCAACCGAACCAGTCCAGCTGGGGAAGGAAAGTGACTCAGAACCAGGTAGGAGGATCTGAATCCCCACCTCTCCCTTAGCTATCCCAAGGTCCAAACACTTACTTCCTGGGCCCTGGGCCCTGTTCCCTCCGTACCTGGCCCTGGTTGATGGCAGCATGCTGGGCAGTGCACGTGAAGATACACATGGTAAGGAAATGGCCCAGCTGAGCCCGGGTCTGGAAGGAGACAGGGAAACCTGCAGGGAGAAGAGCAAGATCTAAAGGCTGCGGAGTAAGAGGAGAGAAAGCAAGGACGCTCTGTGTTTTAGAACGGATGTGTGGGGTTTTTATTTATGCAAATATATTTGTATCAGATATAGGTTCCAATACTGGCCTATTACTTTAGACCAGAGGTTCTCAGCCTATGGGTCTTGACCCCTCACAGGGGTCCTATATCAGATGTTCTGCATATCAGATATTTACATTATGATTTATGACAGTTGTAAAATTGTAGCAACAAAATAATTCAAAGGTTGGAAGTCCGCACAGCATGAGGAACTGCATTAAAGGGTCGCAGCATTAGGAAAGCTGAGAACCACTGGTCTAGACCAATTACCTAACCTCTCCACATTCCAGTTTTTCCCCATCTGCACAGTGGATGTAGTGGTACATGCATGTAATCCCAGCTCAGAGGCAGGAGGCTTGTGAGTTCCTGGCCAGCCCAGCCCACATGTAAAGTTCCAAGCCAGTCTGCACCATTGTCTGGACTACACAGTGAGAGCCTGTCTTAAAAAAAAAAAAAAAGCCGGGCGTTGGTGGCGCACGCCTTTAATCCCAGCACTCGGGAGGCAGAGCCAGGCGGATCTCTGTGAGTTCGAGGCCAGCCTGGGCTA